TGAGTGCAAAACAACCATCATCAATGTACTATCATCATCAATATATCATCAATACATCAACATCATCACCAATATATCATCATATACCACCAATATATCAACATCATAATCAATATAACATCACTTTCATTGAAATAATCACAAGAAACTTTATCACCGACCATCTTCATCATCATCACAATCGTCATAGCGATAACAATAATTCACAAATCCTCAAACCAGTTTAAGACAGATAAAAAAAAACTTTAAAGGAATATCTCCTTAAATGAAATTTAGTTATGAGAAATGACATGACAAGGTTAAAGAAATAATAATAACAACATCAATAATAATAATAATAATATAATAAAACTAATTATTAATATTATTAATGCTGTAAATATTATATAACTCAATGATGAAAATGACGCCAAATTTCTACCAGATGAAAGTAGGAAAGCGTAAGTAGTTGGTATGCAAGTACCGAATGACTGAATGTGCATCAGTCCATGAACATGAAATTTAATCCAGTGTGTGTATGATGAATGATGGATGGTATGTGATGAGAGGATATAGTAATAACAACAACAACAACAACAACAACAACAACAACAACAACAACAACAACAACAACAACAACAACAACAACAATAATAATAATAGTAACTACAACAATAAAATTAAGCAAATAGCTATATAGATAATAATATAAATAATAATAGCAATTTGAAATGTGTCAGATAGACTGTTTTTAAAATGTTCTTAGCTTATGTACCAGGTACAAGATAAAGGTTTACATTTTTCAGAAATAATTCGAAAGAAAAGTAGTAGTAGTAGTAGTAGTAATAATAATAAAAATAACAATAACAGAATAAAAAGACATGAATAATGGTATGAACTCCACACTTAAACACCGCTATATTTATTAATGGATAAATGAATATGTATTTGCATCGGAAGTATAATCATTTTTTTTTAGATGAATTCCGAAAAAAATTTCCTCATAAATGTGAATAAATGAATTGCTCACATTAAATTTAATTAATGCCATTCCTAAAGAAATATAAATAATATAATTTTCTTCTTCATATTATTATTATTATTACTATTATTATTTCAAAACAGAACGAAGCAAAAAAGTTTTTGAAAGAAATGGGGAAAAAACAATTTAAAAAGGTTTCATTTTTAATTTTAAGCGTTGGTTATTCCGTCTCTACTTGTCTATGCTTCCATCTTTAGCGCGCTATTTTTAGTGCATTAGTGTTGTATATGTGCATATGTGTGTGCGCATGTGTGTTTGAATATTTGTGTGTCTGTATGCTAAAAAAAGAATTATATTTAGTATTAAGAAATGCAGGTGTAGCTTCATACAATGTGCAAGCATAATGTACTTACATAAATCAAACATATGAAATATATATATCATTATTAGAATATTTATACGGCGTTAATTAAGTTTTTCAAAAGCAGCTACAAAAATGAACGATTGTCAAAAATAACTAATAAACAAATAAATCAATCATTAAATCAATAGAAAATGAACGTTATCAATTGATATTACATTGAAATTGAATAACTGGGAAGACTGCTCCAGATTCGAGGACCAAACACTGCAAAGCTTCGAGATCCAAGTTTCATTTGAGTTAACGGAACCGAATGATGGCACAAACTGCCCGAACGAAAGCCGATGGAAGATGAAGCTTTCAACCGACATTTGTCCATCAAATACTCTGGTGCAGAATTAAGCATGCATTTGAACATCATTGTATAAACTTTAAAAATTATTCGCTAGTCGACAGTCAACCAATGAAGCTGAGTAAGAATCGGAGATACGATATCGAATCTATACGCTTCATGAAGAATTTTTGCTGCACGATTCTGAATAGACTGCAACATTCCAACAGATTTCTCGGTAAACCGTAACACAAACTGTTGCAGTAGTCCGACCGAGAGTGAATGAACGCATGCATTAAACCTTCAATCGTACATTTCTTCAAGGATTTTCTTATCAAACGTATTTTATGTAGTTGAGCATGTCATCTGCATAAGCATGACACAAAAACCAGATTTATCTATTGTTTCTAGTACATCGGACGTGTATGAAAGAAAAAATATCGGTCCAAAAATTTAGCATTGAATAAATAACAACAAAGAATTGTTACAGTTTAACAGTGTTGGATGTTATATGTGTATATAACTGAAGGAGCATGCTTAATACAATATATATATATATATATAATACAATATATATATAACCCAACACAATACACACCAACAAACATATACAGGTATTTGATGCACTTTAATTTTATTGATCTAAAGACATTTTGAAATAAAAAAAATAGCAAAAATGTTGAAAAATTTTTTAAGTTGGAAAAAAAACTTTTGCAAAAAAAATGATTCTCAGAAAATTTCCATTTGTTTGTTCAAATGATATTATTTTGTTAAATTTAATGAAAAATAGTTAATAACTCTTCTTCCATTCATCAAGCCAATCATCATTTAATATATAAACTTATCCAATGGAACGGTTAATGACCATTTTTTACTTCTTAATTAAAAATATCTCTTAAAAATAAATTAATTTAATCTATCTATCTAGCCATCAATCAATCAATACACGTCCACCAACTGACACCTTCATAGTCCATTATTTATCTCCAACACCATCACGCGGTACATCATCATGACATGGCAATATCATCGTGACATCAT